AGACGGCCCAAGAGGCCCCCAAGATCGCCCCCAGAGCGCCCAGGAAGCCTCCAAGTTGGCCTCAGGACTGCTCACGAGGCCCCCAAGACGGCCCCAAGAGGGCACAAAGACGACCCAAGAGGCTTTCAAGACGCCCAAGATGACCTCTAAGACGGCCCTGGAGCACCCCAAGAGGGCCCCAAGTCGGCCCAGAGAGGCCCCCCAAACAGCTTCAGACGGCGTCAGACGGGCCAGGAGCCCACCAAGATGGCCGAAGTTGGCTCGAAGCTGGCCCAAGACGGCTCAAGAGGCCCCCAAGAGGGCCTCCAGGAAGGCCAGAAAAGGCCAACAACACTGATTTTCCAATAGATTTTGAATGATTTTGACATTTGCCTCTTCTCGGCATTCCGACGGCCCGAGACGGCCCAAGAGGCCGCCAAGATCGCCCCCAGAGCGCCCAGGAGGCCTCCAAGTTGGCCTCAGGACTGCCCAAGAGGCCCCCAAGACAGCCCCAAGAGGGCACAAAGACGACCCAAGAGGCTTTCAAGACGCCCAAGATGGCCTCTAAGACGGCCCTGGAGCACCCCAAGAGGGCCCCAAGTCGGCCCAGAGAGGCCCCCCAAACAGCTTCCGACGGCGTCAGACGGGCCAGGAGCCCACCAAGATGGCCAAAGCTGGCTCGACGCTGGCCCAAGACGGCTCAAGAGGCCCCCAAGAGGGCCTCCAGGAAGGCCAGAAAAGGCCAACAACACTGCTTTTCCAATAGATTTTGAATGATTTTGACATTTGCCTCTTCTCGGCATTCCGACGGCCCGAGACGGCCCAAGAGGCCGCCAAGATCGCCCCAAGATCGCCCACGAGGCCTCCCAGATGGCCCCAGAACGGCCCAAGAGGCCCCCAAGGCGTCCCCAAGAGGCCCCCAAGACGGCTCAGGAAGCCTTTAAGACGCCCAAGATGGCCTCCAAGACTGCCCTTGAGCATTCCAATAGGGCCCCAAGTCGGCCCAATGAGGCCCCCCCGAATGGCTTCCGACGGCGTCAGGCGGGCCAGGAGCCCACCAAGACGGCCGAAGATGGCCCTAAGATGTCCCAAGACGGCCCAAGAGACCTCCAAGAGGGTCGCCAGGAAGACCCGAAAAGGCCAAAATCATTGACTTCCCATTAGATGTTGAAGGATTTTGACATTTGCCATTTTTCTGCCTTCCGACGGCCCGAGACGGCCCAAGTGCCCCCAAAGATCGCCCAAGAGGTCCAAGACGGCCCTAAGAGGCCCCCAAGGCGGCCCAAGAGGCGTCCAAGACGCCCAAGACTCCTCCCGCTCATCTCCTCCTCCATATGTCCCTCCTCCCTCTCCTCCTCCTCCTCCTCCCCCTCCTCCTCCTCCTCCTCCTCCTCCTCCTCCTCCTCCTGATCTTCCCCGCCATCTTCCCAGAAATGTTCCCCGAAGGGTTTCCACAACGGTTGGGGGAACATATGGTCCGACAATTCGGCAGAGCTCTTGCCACAACGCTCGGACACATGAGCGCTTTCAAACCTCTTGCTCCCACACGCTCTCCCCGAAGGCTCTCCAAACCGACTCGGGGAAAAAACTGGCCCGCTAGCTTGGCCAGGCTCTAGCCCAGCTGTCAGCCACATAAGCGCTTCCACAAGGGCAGGGGGCGGCGGTGATTCGCCGTAGGCGTCTTCGATCCGCCGCCCCCTGTCGATTCATCGCAGGGGTGCCTGGCGTGCTAGACCCTTTCGGTTCTGGTTTTGGTTCTTTTTCCAAAAGAACTCCCCCTGGGCCTCCAGCGCGTCCCGCCGGCCACCCGAAAGGATGCCGAAAACTTGCCACGACCCAGTTCCAAAGTGTTTTTCCTGGTCCAGACGGCTCCAAGACGGCCCAAGATGGCCTCCAAGATGTATCCCAGACGGCCAAGATATCCTCCAAGACGGCTATGGTGGCCCAAGATGCCTCCAAGACGGCCCAAGATGTACCCAAGACGGCGCAAGATAGCCTCAAGATGGCCCAAAACGGCCCAAGAGGCCTCAATACGGCCCAAGAGGCCTCCAAGAGGCGCTCCAGGAGGGCCCGAAGAGGCCAACATCATTAATTTCCCTTAAGTGTTTGAAGGATTTTGGCATTTGCCTCTTCTCGGCATTCCGACGGCTCAAGACGGCCCAAGAGGCCGCCAAGATCGCCCAAGAGGCCTCCCAGATGGCCCCAGAACGGCCCAAGAGGCCCCCAAGGCGTCCCCAAGAGGCCCCCAAGACGGCTCAGGAGGCTTGTAAGACGCCCAAGATGGCCTCCAAGACGGCCCTGGAGCATTCCAAGAGGGCCCCAAATCGGCTCAGAGAGGCCCCCCCAAACGGCTTCCGACAGCGTCGGACGGGCCACCAGGAGCCCACCAAGACGGCCGAAGATGGTCCTAAGATGGCCCAAGACGGCCCAAGAGGCCTCCAAGAGGGCCTCCAGGAAGGCCCGAAAAGGCCAAAATCATTAACTTCCCATTAGATTTTGAAGGATTTTGACGTTTGCGATTTTTCTGCATTCCGACGGCCCGAGACGGCCCAAGTGCCCCCAAAGATCGCCCAAGAGGCCCGAAACGGCCCCAAGAGGCCCCCAAGACGGCCCAAGAGGCGTCGAAGACGCTCAAGATGGCCTCCAAGACGGCCCAAGAGCCCTCCAAGACGTCCCCCAAGCAGGCCCGAAAGGGTCAAAATGACCTCCAGACGGCCAAGATGACCTTCAAGATGCCCACGTGTTCCCCGAAGGCTTTCCAAACCGATTCGGGGAACACATGGTCCGATATCTTGGCAGGTCTGGCCTCAACGTTCGGCCACATAGGCGCTTCCAAAAAGGCAGGGGGCGGCGGTGATTCGCCGTAGGCGTCTTCGATAACACCAACGTTTCAATATGCGCTGATGACTCCTATCCGCCCCCGCATGCTGTTCCCAGATGCGCCAAGGCAGCGCCGAGACTCACCGACGCGACTCTGTTATATCCCATTATGATAGAGAGGGGGCCGGCGGCAGGGGGCGAAGCCCTTACGGATATACAGCAGGTGCGTAGCACGTTCGCAGATCTACAGACAGTCGACACCTCTCTTCGCAGAGTCAACGATCCAATGCGGGGGAACTCCCTTCTCCAATCGCTCCCCGACTCAAAGTCTCGAGGATGCCGGCTCGCTTCTGGTCCAAAGCTGCCGTGCCGTGCCGTGCCGTGCCGTGCCCGCGTGCCGTGCCCGGTGTTCGGGGTGCGGAGGCGCCGCCGTGCCGTGCCATGCGGAGGCGCTGCCGTGCGGGGTGGCGGTGCGGCCCCGAGAGGCCCCCGGGAGGCGCCCACGTGGCGCCCGAGAGGCGCCCACCAGGCCCACGGGGCGTATAGGAGGCCCCCAAAGGGGGCATCCAAAGAGCGCACCGAAGGCGCCCAAGAGGACTCCTTCCCACAGTCCAGCCGAGTGCCACCGGAGAGCTCTTCGAGCTCTGCCTGCTCTTCTAACCCTGCTGTTTTTTCGCCCAACTGTTGCAGTATCTGTCTGACCACGGGGCGACCTTGGCACAACCATTGGACAACCAGGAGACGAATCAATCCAAAGCAACCAGCCATACTCAGCACAGCAAAGAGATGCAACGCAAAGCGACAACAACCAACGCAATGCAAAGCAATGCAAATCAATGCAGGCAATACACGGCCATGCCGAAACCCCACGTCGCAAAGTATGGCGCAACCTCAGGCGAAACGCAAGGCGCACCCCATGGCGTCCAAGATCTGTTGGCATAATAAGAACCTATGGGCGCAACATGAGACCCATGTCACCCGAACGGTCCAGGGGCACCATGGGACCATGTGGGCAGATCAGTGCAAACCATGGCAAAAACGCTTGTCGCCAAAGAATTCCTGGGACTCTACGAGGCCCTCATGGCGCAATGCCCTAAGCACCGCACCAACATCCTTCAGAGAAGAAATAATAAGCCCCTGGTGCAACACACGACTTGCCAGACATCTCTCAGGCAGACCGGGGGGAGCGCCATGCCGACAAGCCCGGCTGCGCGACGTGAAGGGATACGTTACGCAATCGGAGAGAAAAGGGGTGGAAGAGGATGGAGAACGAGGGAGGGGATGGAAAGGGGGGCGGAAGAAGGGGACGGGCGAGCCCTGCAGGTGCGTCCGTGACCACACAAGCATAGAAGCAGAAAAACAACATGAACATAATATGTCGACGGTCCGCGCGGATTTCTTGGATTTGCGTTGTGCCCCCCTCCCTGGCGCGCGGAGCGCGCCTGTGGCGGCGCCGGAGGCGCCGCAGGGGGGGGGCCCAGCGCGGATCCAAAAAATCCGCGCGGAGCGCCAACAGTTTATGTCTATGGCGCTTTTCTTCTTCGGAAGCACACCTCGTCCACGTCAACACTCCCACTCTGGGTCCCGGGTTGGCACCACTGACGGGGGCGTCCAAGAGGAGGGCGTCCAAAAGCGGGGTGACCAAAACACCAGCCGAGGCATGTGCACGGACTAGGGGGCCCGGGGACGTATTGAAAGAGAAGAAGAAGAACAAAAATAGGGGGCCATAAAATCCGGGGAGACATCATGACCCCACCATGATTTCAACTCCCCCTAGTCTTCACCCCCCTGTTGACCGCCCCCGACGCTGGAACCAACCAGCAAGTGAGAGCCCGAGCTGGACAGCGCTGTCGACGCACTCCAATGTGCGTTTGCCTGGTGTCGCGCATGAGAGAGAGAGGGAAGTGGGAGGGCCCGCTTTCACGCTGGAGTCATCGCATCCAGGGGGTACTAAACTCTGCCAGATGCTCCTCGCCTCTCCTACAACCCGAGGGCAAGCATATTGGCTCGTGAGGCATGCGCGCGCCCAACATCGCGGCGGCCTTCAAGGCAAGCGAGGTGCATCAGGCCACAGGGGCACGTCCAACGCCATGCCCATGACATCTTGAAATCCTAAACTGATGTATGGACCCTCCTGTACACGGCCCTTGCCTTAAACGATAGGTTGGCACGCCCGATGATCACCCAAAGGTCCAAGCTGTCTACAGTTTCCGCTTCTTCGCGGTGGGACCACACATGTTCTCTGGTTGCAGGTGCTCCTGAACCTTGGCCGCGTCCAGGTAGCCCAGCTCCACAACGATATCAGCGACAGGTCTCTTCTCCTTGAGAGCTTTAGCTGCTGCCTCTGTGCACTTCTTGTACCCAATATGAGGCAGCAGCGCCGTGACGATGCCAATACTGTTGTGCACCATCTCGTGGCAACGCTCCCGGTTCGCCGTGATGCCCGATATACACCGCTCGCGCAAGATGTTCATACCTCGGGTCAGCACGCGGACAGACGTGAAGAGCTTGTAGATGATCACCGGCTCCATCACGTTGAGTTCCAACTGTCCCGCCTCGGCGCCGAAGCAGACGGTGATGTCGTTCCCAATTGTGTCGAAACAACACATGTTCATGACCTCTGGGATCACTGGGTTCACCTTGCCAGGCATGATGGATAGAAGAAGCAACAACTGCATAGACATAAACGTCCGGATCTCTGCACGGATGCCTTGGATCGGCGCTGGACCACCCTCCCTAGCGCGCGCGGAGCGCTGGGGGCTCCGCCGGGGGAGCCCAACACAGATCCAAGAATTCCGGAAACTTCTGTTTGTGCAGTTTTTCGTTCTTCCAATGGAGGAGCCTGGGGCCATCGGTGGCAGATTGATCTCGCCCAGGCCACAGCGGGGTCCAGATGCGAGCAGACGCAGGTCGTTGCAGACTTTGGAGACCTTCACCGCCACGCGCCTCAGGATGCCAGAGAAAAACAGCATGGAGCTCACGCTGGAGCTCGCCTCGATGAGATCGTCGTCCAGGACCATCGGAAAGCCGGTCACGTCCCGCAGCTCCTGGACGACCACTTGCGAGAAGTGCTTGTCCGCCGCGATGCCTGTGCCGATCGCAGTGCCGCCCAGGTTGGTGGTGGTGAATTTGCTGACAGCACTCTTGACGCTCTCCAGGTCATAGCGAATCGTGGTGCCGTAGGCGTTGAACTCTTGACCCAGCGTCATAGGCACGGCATCTTGGAGCTGTGTTCGGCCCATCTTGACTACGTCGGCAAACTCCCGTCCCTTCTCGAAGAAGGCGGAGCTCAACTTGGAGATCGCCTGCACAAGATCCTCGTGCATGAGGATCAGGGCAATTTTCGCGGCAGAGGGGTAGGCATCGTTGGTGGACTGGCCCTTGTTGACGTCGTCGTTTGGGCTGCAGAACTCGTACTGGCCCTTCTTCTTGCCGAGGTGCTCCAGGGCGCGGTTGGCGATGACCTCGTTGGCGTTCATGTTGGTGGAGGTGCCGGCTCCACCTTGCATGAAGTCGGGCGTGTGCCCCTACAGGGGGATGTTCTACGAAATGATCGACCCACGAACCCGGAAAGGAATGTAGAAATGTAACGCATGGCAACGTGTTCAATGACACCTGATTGGGTGACGGGCAAATCCAATGCTGAGTGTATCGATCTTGATGTACCCTGCCGAGGGCTGTGCTGTGCTGCGCCGTGCTGAATTGCGATGTGCCATGCCGCGAGTGTGCTCTATAGCGTTGTGGATCGAGTCCTCCTTTGCATCCGAGTCCTGACCGAACTGATCTGGATCTTAAGCTCGAGCTGCCTGAACACATAGTAGCTGCCCCAGAGCTACTTGACAGGAGGACATGCCAGGAGGACGCGCCGCGGAACGTCCCAAGAGACGCGCCAGGCGACGTGCCAGGGGACGTGCCATGGGGTCGCACCGCGGGACGTGCCAAGGGGACGCGCTACGGAACGTGCCAATGGATGTGCCACGGGATGTGCCAGGGCACGCGCCACGCGACGTGCCAAGGGGACTCGCCAAGAGACGCCCCACGGAACGTGCCAAGGAACGTGCCAAATTGCAATGCTGAATGTGTCGGTCTTGATGTACCGTGCTGTGCTGCGCCGTGCTGAATTGCGATGTGCCATGCCGCGATTGTGCTCTATAGCGTTGTGAATCGAGTCCTCCTTTGCATCCGAGTCCTGACCGAACTGATCTGGATCTTAAGCTCGAGCTGCCTGAACACATAGTAGCTGCCCCAGAGCCAATTGGCAGGGGGACATGCCAGGAGGACGTGCCATGGGGACGCACCGCGGGACGTGCCAAGGGGACGCGCTACGGAACGTGCTGGGGACAAGCGTTTCGCTCGAGACGTCCTGTCAACATCCTCATGCTAAACATCCGCCTGAGCGACCTGAACACGTGAAAACAAGCGATTAGCTCAACACATCCTCAACGCATTCTCATGCTAGACATCCGCCTGGGCGAACTGGACACGTGAAAACAACTGGTTCGCTTGAGACATCCTCAACACATCTTCATGCGAGACGTCCACCTCGGTGACCTGGGCACGTGAAAACAAGCGTTTCGCTCGAGACGTTTTCAACACCTCCTCATTCTAGACATCCGCCTGGGCGACCTGCACACGTGAAGCAAAAGTCTCGCTCGAGACATCCTCGACACATCTTTATATTAGACATCCGCCTGGGCGACCTGGACACGTGAAAACAAGAGTATCTCTCGAGACATTCTCAACACATCCTCATGCTTGGCATCCGCCTGGGCAACCTGGACACGTGCGAACAAGCATCTCGATCAAGACTTTCTCAACACATCCTCATGCTACACATCCGCCTGGGCGACGAGGACACGTGAAACCAATCGTCTCGCTCGAGACTTCCTCAACAAATCCTGGCGCTAGACCTCTGCCTGGGCAACCTTGAGGCGTGAAACCAAGCGTCTCGCTCGAGACATCCTCAAGACCTGGGCACGTGAAAACATGCATTTCACTTGAGAGATCCTCTGAATTCTGGTCCCCAGGAGAGGACAATCTATAACACAAAACAAGCGTTTCGCTCGAGACATCCCCAACATATTCTGAACAATAAGCGTTTCGCTCGAGACATCCTCACATGTTTTATTCGCCGGCCCTACGCGACTTCGTTATTTATCGCAAAAGAAATTCGCCGGCCCTACAGCAGTCAGATCCGGGGGTAAACCTCTAAAAGAGAACCCTGGGCCCACGCCCTTTCCGGGGAAAACGAAAAATACATAAAAATATTCCCAAAATGACAAACAAAGTCAAAGAATAGTCCCCAGAGTATTTTTGGATCATTCTTGAATATTCCTCCTGTAGAGGGGCAGGCCCGACTTAAACCTTGCACCATGTCGACCAGGAAGTCCCTCCGCATCTCCGCCCCCTTGTTCACGCCCAGGGCAGTGCTCTCTGGGTCGATGAGCTCGTCGCAGGCGTGGCAGATGGCGTCGGCCACTTCTTGCTTCAGGTGGCCCAGCTTGTAGTTGGCCTGGGCGCAGGCCTTCTTCACCTGCGCGAGGGCGATGATGAACTCGGGGAAATTCTTAATGCGAATGCCAGTGATGTTGTAGCACTCGATGGCCCGCAACGTCTGCACGCCGTAATATGCGTTGATGGGCACCTCGCGCTCTCCGAGGAGGTCTTTCTCCACACGCGTTCCTCCTTCCCAAATAATGGGGTCCTTCTGCATGAACTTGGGCACGAACGCTCCATCCATCGATCCCACACGTGCGCGCGCCATTGCTGTATCAGTGCGATGTCTTCTTGGCGGTCAACGACTACAGGCAAGCACGAATAAACAAGATTTAAGGCAACGGGGCTTGCGCCAAAATTGCTGGGGATTCATGCTGCTCTGATCTATGTAGTATGGACCTGCGTGCTGGTGCTATAACTAGGTGTGTGGCAAGCCCTGTGCAGTGTATGCGCGTCGACCTGTAAGACCACCATTCGGGTGATTCGGTTGGGTGGGTGGGTGGGTCTGAATGGGGAGTGCAAGCGTGCCTTTCGGTTTGCGATTGGCTTCGGGTCGAGTTGGCAACGTACGTATGTACCCTTCAAGGATTCCTCGAGATCCTGTGTCGTCCTCTCTCTCTCACTCTATATCTATCTCTGTCCCATGTGCATGCGTATATCTATATATATATATATAGATATAGATGTATGTATGTTTGCACAGTCGCTGCTGATCCTGCAAATCAATCTAACTCTGCTAGCTAGTCTAGCTCGTCCCCGCACGTCCCCCGATACATATCACTTCCACCTCTGTACCTCCCACGCGCTATATCGTTGTCTCGTTCCATGTACGTTTACATGTTTGTAGACACATGCACGCATGAGACATACCTTTGTTCTGATAAACGATGAGCATTCCAAAGCTGGCATCACTCCCCTGGTGTTTGTAGCATCCTGAACGTGGCGAGCTGCCTTAGTCCTCTGACTCTTCCGACTCCCACAACACGCGTAAATAAATATTGTAAGTGATCTCGCTTGTTTGGCTCTCCCGAGTCGCACTGCTTCTCCTGCCTGGTTATTCAGACCCATCTGCTCCTGTGCCTCGTCTAACAAATTTCACCGCTCAAACTGTTCCAAACATTGTAGCTTCCCGTTTCACTATCCTGGCAATTGTACCCCTGTAATCCAACGCGCAACCGCGCGACGACTCCGGAACAACCGCGGGACAATCAAAAACAACCACGGGACATCCACGATACGACAAACTGCACTGGAGCGCACGACCAACATTACATCTACATGACAAGCATGGGACAGCCACGGAACGGTCACAGGACAACCTTAAGACAACCGCAGGACAACCTGCAAAAACCCTTGGCGGACGTGGCATTAGAAGCATGTATCTACAACGGTACCCCACAGGCACGTTGAGGCGTGGAAGACTGCCAATGGCTGCCTCTTAGGGTTTCTATATTATGATGCTGCCCCCCCATCTGGTCGCAGAGTGCCGCATGCACCGCCTCCCCTCCCGAGGCCACGATCCCTCGTAGAAGCAAAAACTCAGGATCCGCGTTCCCGAGGCAACGATCCCTCGCACAAAAATAATGCATATGCGCCCTGGGCTTCCAAGACGGTCCAAGCAGGCAACAAATGCCGCCAGGATGGCCCAACATGCTCAGAAGACGGCGCTAAATGGCCCCGAGGCAGCGCGAGATGGCCTCGAGACGGCCCAAAATGCCTGCAAAAAGGATCAGGAGGTCCACACGAGGATCTCAAACAGGGTTCGAAGAAGCCAATCACTGAGTCGCCATGAGTTGTTGAATGAGCTTCACAATCCTGCCAATTATCCTGATCCTCCCTGCACCCCCCTCCCCCTCCCCCTCCTTTTCCCCCTTACCTTGCTCTTCATCCCGACCATGATCCTCATCCCCTGCCCCTCTCACACCACGCCCTGTGCGCCCAGCATCCCTACCATCCCCGCCCGATGCTCCAGATGTCGCACTTGATGTCGTACTTCCTCTCGAAGACCTGCGTGGCTGACAGGTCCACGCGGCGATGCGATCCCTCCTCGCACTCCTCCACCTCGACATCGTCCTCCCTGCTCCTCCTTCTCATCCTCCCGCCTCCCCCAACCCCTTTCTTTTATGAATAACTCCTCCCCGTCGCACCCAGAGGCGTGTCCGTGCGTTTCCCGTGAGGCTTCCCCACCACTTATGACAGGAAAACCTAGAATCGAATCGACAAGTCGGATCGGAAGTCGACATGAATCGGATCGACGGAAATCGGCAGCTGAATCGAGAGAAGTCGAGTCGGCAGACATCCACAGACTAGCAGGCCTCCATTGAGAAATCTGATCCCAACTCGGAATCCGAAGTCGAATCGAATCGGAATCGGAATCCATCGAAATCGAATCGAATCGGTGGAATCGAAATGAGCCCTGCCTTATGACCCTGAGGCTTAAACATTGCAACAATTTCACGGGTGAAGGGCGGCCATTTTCAAAATGTGGCTCTCGCTTTGGCGCAGCGCACATTCGTGTTTCAAGTGCGCAAGGAGTTTCACGGACGGAGGGGGATGGTTTTCAACATGTGATTCTCGCCTCAGCGCCGCGCGCGTTCGTCATACAAGTTTGCAAAGGCTTCACGAATTCCTGGAGGGCGTTTTTTTTCAAAATTTGTATCTCGCTTTAGCTCCGCCACGCATTCACAACCGTTTCAAGGATCTGTATGGTTGACGCTCTAGGACTGGTGTTGACACGAATTAGGGTCGCCAGGGCGCAGCAATCACATTGAAACCTGATGTTGAAGTCGCTGGAACGGTGTTCTGGCACGATTCAGGATCTTCAGGACGCAACAGTAGCAGCAATCTGCGGCGTTAGAATCCCAGGAATGATGCATTGCCAAAAAAATGTCCAAGCGGTTGTCCTCCAACGGGGCACTTCTCGCAATGAAAATCCGCCGACACCCGCCTGCAGAGGGTGAAAAGGCGTGTGAAACATTTGGCTGTCACCCTCCCCCTTTCCCCCTCCGCTGGGATCCAAGATGCAATTCTAGGAGGGGGGGTCCCCCTACGGGCTCGCCAACGTCTCCTCCGGGGCCTCCGGAGCCACGAAAGAGCCCCAAAAAGGCCCAAACAGGGTGCCAAGATGATCCAAGAGAGCGACGAGACGGCCAAGGATAGCCCCTCGACGGTCCAAGGCGGCCCACGACTGCTCCCAGAGGACCGCCGAGAGGGCCCAGAGAGGCAGGAGGAACGCGAGGTGGAGAAGCAAGAGGAGAGAGGGTGAGAGCAGCAGCCGCGCAGAGATGGCGGTGGGCGAGGGGGGGCTGGGCGGCAACCACGGGCTGCCCAGCGCGCGCTGCCCAGCGCGCGCGCCTCAGGGCCGAGCTCGCGCCTGGCTTTGTGCAACCGGTGCTGCCTACCTGGCGCTCCTCCTCCTGCTCCTCCTCCTCCTCCTCCTCCTCCTCCTCCTCCTCATCTGTGCAACCGGTGTTGCCGTGCCAGGCTGGAGGGCAGTTGCTGTGCAGCTGGTGCTGCCTGGCGCACGGGCTCGCGGCTGGCCCACGCGCTTTACAGCCCGCCTGCGCGCGCCCATGGGGGGAACGGCGCGGTGTGCGTTTTGTGACGCATGTGTTGTGCCTGCTGCAGCACAGGGCCGAGCCTTAATGGGAGGAGGAGGAGGAGGAGGAGGAGGAGGAGGAGGAGGAGGAGGAGGAGAGGACGTCCTCGGGCGAGGCCAAAGGGGAAAGTAGCGAGGGGGGGGAAAGGAGGGGGGGAGCAGCAGCACCAACAGCGGCAGCAGGAGGTCCACACCATGTCAGTCGTGTGCCGCCGCGCGGGGGAGGGAGGGGGTGTGGGGAGGGAGCTAGGGCGTCTCCGTAGTTTCACGGAGGCCCAGACGCGAACGAAAACGCCCCAATCCTAGGACCTCGTTCCTAGATGTTCCTCATCCTCGACCTTCGCCATCCTCCGAGATATGCTCTGTTCCATGTGAGGACGGCGTTACTCGTCCAAGCCACTGACTGAGAAGCGCAACATAAAGCAATCCGCTGCCTCTCGACTCTCTGGACATCTGTTGAGCCACAAGCTGAGCCAGCAGCTCATGATCGAGGCCATGGCTGGCCAGCAGCTCCTGCACACTCCGACGACTCTCGCCCCACAGACAGCCCCTCTACCGTCCGTCCATTCCTCGACCCTCGGTATTCCTCCTCCTCCTCGGAGGAGGAGGAAGAGGGAGCCAGACCTCTGGCGCCACGTAGAAAATGGTCCCGAGGAGCTCTGCCATGAAGGGAGCGTCTGCCCAAGGGCCCCGCACCAGCCAGCATTCCCACCCGCTCCGGCTGCTGCTGCCGATCCCCTCGTCCTGCTCTTCGTTCTCGCCCCTTCTCCCTCCTGCTCCTGCGCTGGTGCCTGCCGCGCTGCTGCTGCTGAGGCTGCTGCTGCTGCTGAGGCTGCTGCTGCTGCTCCTCCTCCATTCCTTGTCCTTATAAACAACTTCTCCCTGTCGCACCCAGAGGCCCGCTTTTAGGGCGGGCCGGGTGTTTCGCCTGAGACTCCCTCACCATTTATGATTCTGAAGCTTACAAATTGGCAACGGTTTCATACATGGAGGGCGGGTCGTCTTCAAAATGTGGCTCTCGCCTTTGCGTGGCGCACATTCGTTTTAATCATTTGCAAGAGCTTCACGGATCGAGGGTGGGTCGTTTCCAAAATGTGGCTCTTGCCTTAGCGCCGCGCACATTCGTTTAACACAAACTGCAAGAGCTTCACACATTGAGGGCTGGTCGTTTTCAAAATGTGGCTCTCGCATTAGCGCCGCGCACATCCGTTCTACGAAAAACTGTGCAAGAGCTTCACGGATCGAGGGCGGGTTCTTTTCAAAATGTGGCTCTCGCCCTAGCGCCGCGCACATGCGTTCATAACCTTTGCGAGAGTTTCACGGATTCCCACGATGGACGTACCAGAAATGGCGTTCTGGAAGGATTCAGGATTATGCGGGTGCAACAATTACGTTGATTCGCTGGTTTGAAGTCCTCAAAATGGTTATCTGGCCGAGTCAGGATTGTCAAGACGAACAGTCAGGTTGATCCGTGGCGTTGGAATCACGAGAACAATGTTTTGGTATGCTTGAGGATCTTCAAACGGTTGTCTTCCAAAGAAGCAATTCCTTCAATAGAAAAGAACCGCTGCATTGGGGCCTATGAAGAGGGAGCTTGGAGGAGGGTGTATTCCAACATTGTTGATGACTCTTGGGTTTACACTGGTCCTCCTCCTCCTCCTCCTCGTCCTCCTCCTTTAGCTCCCACTCCTACCTGACCAGCTCCTCCTTATGCTGCACATGCTCCACACACTCCATCCTGCCTCTCGCGGCCGCTGCTCCTCCACCTCATCTTGTCCTCATGCTCCCTGCTGCCGCTCCTCGACATCCTCCCCGTGTCAGGCGACGCCCTCCTGGCGCCTGTGCCCATTCTCCCCTCTGACGCACCGCTGGGTTCGAGGCTACGCATAGCGTTGCCGATGCCAATTTCCTGACATGGTGGTCGTGGTCACCAGACTCAGCCTACAGTCATCGGCCTGACCAAATGTACGATGAATAAGGAACGAAGTCCCTTTTTTCCCACGGAGTAAGCATAAGGGACGATATATAATACATAACGCATAAAGAGAAATACATAACGCATGCAAGCCAAGGACCGACCGAGCCCCTTTTGAAAAGCAAGTGTTCCTCATTCAAGCCGCTCACTGTAGATGCCCTCGTCGGTGCTCCCCGGAACACGGCGGTGGGCCTGCATTGACGAGCCTGGAGAAGCCGAAGTCGATGAGCTTGAGGCGGGCATTGTCGGAGGAGTCCTGTGAACGAGGCGCTCGTGCGCCTGGACCCCCTCTCCCTCTGTTTCGTTCCCCTCCCTAGTCGGGCGCTGGCAGAACTGTGTTTAAGGGAACCTGGTTTAGTGATGTGTACTGGGGGACGCCCCCCCCGCCCCGTTCCCCTAATCGGAAATGCCGTCACCCGAAAAAACACCAGCTACGGCAGAGCTGGTTCAATGTTTCTGGCAAAATTAGGGGTTCCGGGGCCCTACTGCTAGTCGGGTCCCCTTACCTGGGGTCCTGGCTATACCAGAACCTAGAGGGAGCGGCGGGGGAGGCGGATGCGGGTGGAGGAGCGGGAGGTGGGGGGAAAATGGACGAACGAGGAGCGCGAGCTGCCAACGAATGGGTATCACATCCATAGTCTACTGCGTGCACAGCTAGCTGCGACCTTCCGATGAGAATTCCCCGCACCCTTAGCGTGTCTGAGATGATGAGCTGCTGCCACGTTGCGAACAAGTTGAGCGTGGGGTGGTGGGGTCGACACTTTATCATTGGCGGCGGGCTATACCATGAGGTGTTACAGGCTGGGCGGGACGTACTATCAGACATGACTGCGGAGCCCTTCTGTTGCCACCACCAATGCCTTGAGTTTCTTTCCTATGAGTAGTTGACCTCGTACGTCCGTGACCTGTTGGCCTGTCTTTTCCAGGTGGCATTACAAACTGGCGGTAATATGACATAGCCAGTGTACGGTATCCAAGACTGACAGCCTTCCGGGCATATCAAAAACAAATCACCTACATATACATCGGCTGGCTGTGTATACACGTTGTCAGAAGATAGACTCACCATGTGGTTCAACGTGCACAACTATCTTACGGAACTTAGCTACACGGTAGCGTTATGCCCCCAACTTGTTCATGATTGTTTCCATGTGTGCTGCATGTGCTGTGCCTGCATGGCCTTCTGTGATACGCATGTGGGTACCAACGCCTTTTGATGGTCCTGTGTTGATCTACGTGCGTTTCTCCCACGGTCCTTACGTTCCCGTCGATGGTCGATGGGGTGTGATTGCCCACGTGTGTTCGGTGCGCATGTGCATAGTACATGTAGGTCGTCAGCTGAAATTCATTGACATGCACGCAATGTTAGTTTAACGTTCAATTTCGGCTGACAGCTGCTTGCATTAGCTAATGTGCGCTGAAGCTGGGCCCGCTCCTGTGACCCACCCTTACATATTCATGGTATGTGCCCATGTGGGGTTCAAAGTATGTTGTTCCCGCTAGTTCAGCCATGCGGACCCTGCAATTCCGCATCTCTTGTGTGCCAACGGAGTGCCCCCCGCCGGCCACCCGAGGTCATGTTCAGCACAGGGCGATGGCACTGCACTATCTGGCAGGTTCTTTTCACGCAAGACTTCGATTGGTGATTCGTCCTCCCAGTGACCCTGGCATCCTCTGGCATCCTCCTCATCAGCCCCCCCAATCATATCTCCCGAGGGCGTATCCCCGATTCCCCGCTACGTTTTCCATGACAAATGTTTGATGGGGGGACTCGGAAACCAGGGGAGAGAAATCGCCTGCGAGAGTGGCGCGGCCTTGCCTCGGGGGGAAGGCGGGGGATGAGGAGGAGGCAGGGACGGAGGCTGACAGCTCACGCCCGCTCGTCCATGATTATGCGCTCGCTGCCCGGAGCGGAAGGGAACGGCGGAGCGGCAACGACGGAGAGGGTCCGCAAAGACCCAGTTCTCCAGCTTCAGGTCCCTGTGCGCGATACCCTTGCTGTGCATGCCCGCCAGCCCGCAGGTGCTGGGGGTGACGAGGCTGAGCTGCTTGGCCGATCCCCTCTCCCTCCCAGCCATCTGGCGTCTCGCCTGTTTCGAGGCGTCGGCCCCCGACCTCTCGACGACTTCCCTGGGACCAGTTTGTCATCCGGAGTCGTTGTTGACAGTCCCGAGGCCCGGTAAGGGTCCCGAGAGACCTAAAACTATGAAAAGCATACGTCTCGAGTGGCCCGAGACGCTGGATGTCCGGCTTTCTAGCGCTCTCCTCCTCCAGCTACGACTCCTGCTGCTCCTCCTGCAGCTGCTCCTCCTCCTCCTCCTTCTCGCCAGCCGCGTGCATGCGGAGGCCGACGAGGCCTGAGGTGCTTCGCTGGCCATGCAAAACATAAAAGCAGCTGCACCAAATAAGCATAAACGTTCGTAGGTCATTATGTTTTTCGCGTCCACGCCTGCTCGTCGTCGTCGCTGTCGTCGTCGTCGTCGACACCGCCGTGGGCCGTGGCTGTCGCCATCGCCGTCGCCATCGACACCGCCGCCGTCGTCGTCGTCGTCGTCCTTCAAAGTTGGCGGCATCAGCCGTAAAGCTTTTGCAATAAACAAAAACTTTCAGGGGTCAGCTTGGATTTCTTGGATCGGTGCCAGGTCCCCCTGGTGGCGTGTCTGACGCCGACACAAGAAATCCGCGCGGACCTCCAAAAGCTTGCGAGTTGAAAGCTCTGTTCTTCTAGACCCCTCTCTCACATGCTCTTGCTGCTCCTTCTCCTCCAGCTGCTCCTCTGGGCGCGAATTGACCCCCCATCCCCAGCGGGCCAATTAACGCAGTAGGAGGAGGAGTTCGAGATACTCCCAGCATCATCGACAAGCCAGAGCTGTGCTGCAAGATGTCGCCCAGACGGCTGAAATGAGGCTCCGCTAGCCTCAATACCGTCCCCCCGAATGGCCCCATACCGAGCAAAACACCATGAATGCACACAACGCACGCTTTCATATTCTAGCCATTCTCGTTCGTCCCATCCTTGTCGCCTCTAGGAAGCATCATTACTGCAACCACACGGACCCGAGTCTGCCCAAAACATGCACACGGAGCACCAAGGCAGGCCCCAACACACTCCAAGACTGGCCCCGGTCAGCTCAAGGCAACCTCAAACAACCCATGACGGCCTGAGACATTCTCAAGAAAGCCACGACCCAACATTGCTTCAAGCTGTCTGTCCCAATACGGATCCTGCCAGAAATCCATGGCTCAAAATTGCTTCACGAGGCCCCCAGGCTCGGCCAGGCAGGCTTAAAACTCTTCAGAGGTTCGCCGCCGTGCCTTGCGCACGCACTGGAGTCCCAATGCGCATACAATGGGGCTCATCAGGGCAGAGACCCCCGCTGGGCAGAATTGCTCGGCGCCCTCGGGAGCTCTCAGGGTGTGATAAGCTCTCTGGGCCCTGGGGGCCCAGCAGGCCTCCCAAGCAGGCGACGCACAAGCCAGCAGAGCGCCGAGACAGGTCAAGAACTGAAAATCCTCAGAGTTGAACGCGTCTGTGGCGCGTTCCGCCGACCCTGTCGGCGTGTGCGAGGGGCTTGGCTGTTCGAGTCGTCGTCTCCGTCGGTCGTCGCCTCCGTCGTCCCCTTTCCCTGCAGCTTCCTTCTCAAGCTCGTGAGCGAGAGAAAAATCTAGCAGTGTCGTAATCGAGTCGAAG